GTATTCACCTAAGTACAAAGACATATAGCATTTAAAAATAAGTAAACGCAGCCTTTTCTCCCTTGAAATGTATCAAATACTAAAGCTTTTTATAACATCTTGATCCCAAAAAGAACTGCAGAAAGCCATTTAATCCATTCTCAGACATCTGGCCAGACTAGCTAGCATTATGCTAGTCTTCAACAAATGTGACCAAGGCTTCTTGTTCCAGTTTTGCTTTATTTGTAATACAGTTTTTTTCTCTCTCTCAGGTGAATATATTGGTTCAGAGTATTGGGTCAAAGACAGGTCCCACTTAAAGGAGTAGTAAAAAGAAAGATTTGTCAGGATACATGGCGGCTCACACCTGTAATTCCAGCACTTTGGGAGGGTAAGGCAGGAGGGTCACTTGAGCCTAGGAGTTCAAGACCAGCCTGGGCAACGTAATAAGATCTTATCTCAAAAAAAAAAAAAAAAAATTAGCTAGGTGTGGTGGCATACGCCTATAGTCCCAGCTACTCATGAGGCTGAGGGGGAAGGATCACTTGAGTCTAGGATATTGAGTCTGCAATGAACCCTGATTGTGCCACCACTGCATCTGGGTGACAGATCAAGATCTTGTCCCCCACCCCTCCCCCAAAAAAAGAAGATCTGTCAGGATAAACTTAATGGGAACAATTACAATATTTTAATTTGGAAATTGTTCTTAAATCACACAATATACAAGCAGACAATAACACGTAAGTTATTATGAAATGATATAAGCATGGACCTATAAATACTTCCTAATGGTTTCATAAACTGGCTGTTGTTCTCTCTCCACCCTTCCAGAAGAAGAGCTCAGCGCTGGAGATTTCACAATTCCCTTCTAACAGCTATGCATTGATCCCATTTGCGATAACCTGGCATTATATTCATATCACAATGATCCAGACAGTTGTGCATATTTTAGGAATGGAAAAGACAAATCATTTATTATATAGTAATTTTTTTCCTTCTTTGGTCCAACAAGTTGGGCAGGCCTATGGCTACATCACAACTGTTGTGTGCTTCTTATTTCATATATTTTATTTTTGTCTGCCTGAATCATTTCATGGCTTTTCAATGTCCAAATGTAATTTAGCACTTTCCTATAATTACACTTTTTCTAACAAGTGTATTTGTTTGTGCTTGCAGTTTTCTATAATTTAATTGCTTGGTCATTCAGAAAATCCTTTACATTTTTAATGCAGATATCCTATTTATGTAGCACCAATTTATTAACTTTGGTAATTTTTTCTGTTGATGCTATTTTGTGAAAACACTGCATTTTTGTTTTGTTTTGTTTTGAGACAGAGTCTTGCTCTGTCCCCCAAGCTGCAGTGCAGTGGTGCGATCTCAGCTTACTGCGACCTCTACCTCCTGGGTTCAAGTGATTCTGCTGCCTCAGCCTCCCAAGTAGATGGGATTACAGTCGTGCACCACCATGCCCAGCTAATTTTTGTATTTTTAGTGGAGATGGGGTTTCGCCATGTTGGCCAGGCTGGTCTCGAACATCTGGCCTCAAGTAATTCACCTGCCTCAGCCTCGCAAAGTGCTGGGATTACAGATTCGTAAGCCACCGTACCAGGCCAAAACACTGCATTTTTATCCCAAAGGGAGTCTAATGTATTCCTCTCATTCTAGAGTTAAAAAATCTGAGCCTGCAGAAACTAAGTAGCTCTTCAAGGTTAATAGGTACTGGAGTAGTTGACAGAGTTGAGACTAGACCTGGATCCTCCAGGGCTTTTTCTTTTCTTTCTGCGGGGGAAGAATTTTTCATCACTTCATGTGTTTTGTCACAGGGCTTACAAAAATCTTACCAGTAATTTAAATGAGTAACCAACTTCTCTTCTGATTGTTAAGATTATATCAACAGTTTTCTAATGATTGCAAATTTGGTACAAGGGAGGCTTTCTCCCATTTGAATGTAGGGGCAGTATTTTCCAGAATCACTCTTCTACAAGTCACTGAAAAACAAGCAAAATATTTACATTTAGATGGATATGGTGTTGGGCCATCTAACTTGCTAGTAATCAGTCTGCACCTGTACTTGCAACAGCTGTGTTCAGATTCGATTTTCTTTTTTCTGAGAACATCAGTAACACAAAGCAACTTCCATCCATCTCCTTGCTTAAATCTCATTAGAACTTTGGAAGGCCAAGATGGGAGGATTGCTTGAGTTCAGGAGTTTGAGACCAGCCTGGGTAACATAGTGAGAGTTTGTCTCTACAAAAAATAAAAGATTAGCTGGGTGGTGGCACTTACCTGTAGTCCCAGCTACTCAGGAGGCTGAGGCAGGAGGCTGAGGTGGGAGGCTGAGGCAAGAGGATCACTTGAGCCCAGGAATTTGAGGCTGCAGAGAGCCATGATCATGCCACTGCACTCCAGGGTAGGCAACAGTGAGACATTGTCTCAAAAAAAAAAAAAAAATCCACAAAAATCTCATTAGAAAGAGTTTCATGAAAAAGAAATCCAAATATTTCGTATTGAAGAATTCAAATTGCATCTGCAAAGTAGGTACTATAGAACACACTCTTGTAAGCCATCACTGCCAAAACTAATGTTTTTGTTTGTGAAAGAAGTTCATTTAAGGACCTCCATTTCGATTAGTATCATATCAAAAACAAACTAGCAGGCAAATTAAGAAACAACTGAGGGCCGGGCGTGGTAGCTCAGGCCTGTAATCCCAGCACTTTGGGAGGCTGAGGTGGGTGGATTACCTGAGGTTAGAAGTTTGAGACCAGCCTGGCCAATGTGGTAAAACCCCGTCTCTGCTAAAAATACAAAAAATTAGCCAGATGTAGCCAGATGTGGTGGCGGGTGCCTGTAATCCCAGCTTCTCTGGAGGCTGAGGCAGGAGAATAGCTTGAACCCAGGAGGCGGAGGTTGCGGTGAGCTGAAGTCGCACCATTGCACTCCAGCCTGGGTGACAGAGTGGTACTCTGTCTAAAAAAACAAACAAACAAACAAACAAAAAAAAAGAGAAACAACTAGGGGAACAACCGGTAAAACCACCTAGATGATATAAATGGGAAATCATTGCCAGAATCTATGTGGTTAACAGGCAAGATATGAGCTCTCTGACCAATCTTGTACTAACCATGAACCTGTTATTTCTTCTAAAACAGAATCTGAATTAAAGCTCTCAAAAAAGCAGCCATTTTAACTTGAGAGGCGGGAGTATCACTGACCTAGTGATTCCAGATAATTCTAAATAACTAGATTAACTAGGGTTCGTGATCATCTTAGAAAGCAGGAATAAGTTCTCTATAGGTTTGGATTCGCTTCTAGGGTCCAGGTATAGGTGGGGATGATTAGAACTGTGTTTCCAAACTTAAGTCATTTGCCCAAACTACTTTTAGGATTGTGGCCGACTTCGAATCATGTTCACCACTCTCTTTACATTTCTTATGTCAATATTTTCTTTAAGACGATTTAATTGAAACTTAATACCATTTGTTTTAAAAAGACCTTTTCACTCCCTGTACAATAGGAAGCCATGCATCACTCCAGCTATAAACAGATAGTAACTGTGTGCTGATTGTGGTGGATCGGTGTCTGTAATACCAGCACTTTGGGGAAAAGCCAAACGCGTGGGAGGATCACCTTGAGCCCCAGAAGTATGAGACCAGCCTGGCAACACAGCAAGACCCCATTCTCTACAAAAAAAAGAAAAAATTTACAGATGGTGGTGCTGTATGCCTACAGTCCCAGCTACTTTGAGGAGCTGACGGGGAGGATCCCACCTCCTGACGTCTCACGGAGTTAGATGGCTGTAGTGAGCTGTTGATAGCGCACTGCACACAGCACTCAAGCCTGGCGGCAGACAGAGTGAGACACTACATCAAAAACACACGCAACAAGACAGTATGCGAAATAAAGGCGAAAATAAAATAACCACAAGTGTATACGTTGCATATTTGAGTTAAACTACCCCATCATCTCAGAACGCTGCTGATCCCAAAATCCTGCGTAATCTTCTTTGCGTCTGAAAAACATCACAGAGTAGTGAACACCCGAAGTGTTAAATATGTGCTAAGCATGCCCAACGAAGACCTTTTCTCACTGAGGCAAATCAAACCACAGAAACTGACAGCAAAACTGGAAAACAGGGAAAAACCGCTGCCCTCTGCACTGGTCTCCTGCCGTTTCTCATTGCTCATCCTGGCGTGTTAAGGCTCCCGGCGCCTTCCGCATGCCTGTTCCTGCTGCTCCACCAGTTTCACTGAGCTTCAGCGCTGTCTCAGGGCTAACCTTCCGCACGAGCTTTGCGGTGTTGCCCTCCAACCGGATACATAAGTTTTTCCCCCACGATCCCTTACTAGAGTTCCAATCGCTGCACCCGTGGCCTCTACTCCAAAGGCTGTTTTTCCCTTTCTTTTTCTTTCTTCTCTGTTCCCTTGATCTTTTTTTTTTTTTTTTGAATTCGGGAGGATGGCTGGCTCGTTGCCAGGCCTGGGGAGCTGAATGGTGCAATCTCAGCCTCACTGCAAACCTCTGCCTCCTGGGTTCAAGCAATCTCCTGCCTCAGCCCGGAGTAGCTGGGACGTTAGCAGATGCCTCGCCACCACTACCTGCCTAATTTTTGTATTTTTTAGCAGAGACGGGGTTTCACCATGTTGGCCAGGCTGGTCTCGAACTCCTGACCTCAGGTGATCTGCCCACCTCAGCCTCCCAAAATGCTGGGATTACAGGTGTGAGCCACTGCGCCCGGCCAAATGCTGCTTTTTCTAATAGGTGTTCCCTGACTGACCACAGTCAGTAAAATAGCTCCTCATTCATTCATTCATTCTGGGTGAACTTCCATTGCAGCCCAGCTATTTGGCTTCCTTCCTTGTCTTACCCTGTTTTTTCTGAATGGCTGGATTCTCTTTGTTATATAGCCAACCAAAAATACAATGTATTCTTCTCTTGTTAGTTAAATAATATTGTTTGGTTTATAGGTAGGGTTAATTTTTATTTAAAAACATATATGTGTAAAAATTACAGAAGAATATATGAAACACTTTAACCATATAATCTTCGGGTAGTAGGAGTTGTGGTGATTTTTATTTCCTTTGTTATACTTTTCTGTATTGACTGATTTTATTCCCAGTAAATTCAGTTTAAGATGACAAAATCTCTGTTTTTTGTAGTCATAAACTTGTGCTAGTCATAAACATGTGCTAGCTCCATGTGAAAAAATTAGTGCTGTTCAACATAAATTCTCAGGATATTATACTCGAGGACCAGTAAGAATAAGGGCAAAGAAACAAGCGTTAAGGCGAATAAATTAGATGACGAGAGAAAACCTAGTCTACAAAGTTACCATTTAAATCCTTAACTCCAGGCAGCTATTTCATAAATGGTTTTGTTTGGTCATACAAGGTGACCATGGGTCACATAAGGTAATGTTAAAATCACAAGTCAGGGTTTCTGTCTGACTGCTGGTGGGCCAGATATCTTCCCCTCCCATGAAAGAAAAATCATTCTGTAGTGTTAAGAATCTTGTCAAGTCTGTAGTAATGAGCACTTCCTCTTCCCCCACCAAGCCCCTCACCCCAAATTCTGCTTGGGGCATTACACTGCAGGCTAATGATCTAAACAAAATTAAGATTGGTTAAATTAATAATTCCATGTTCCCAATTAAGAATTTATTTTGCACTTAAGATATTGATCCATAGTCCTGTGTATATGTTTAATGCAAGCAAATATTAGTGAAGCAAATTTGTCATTTTCATTTGTGTATTTTGGACAAAGGTTTGTTTATACTCAGTGAAATGTTAATTTGTCTGGTTATTTCTCCTTTTCCCAGCAAAGAATATTTAATCTCCTTTCTGAAAATGATTCGATTTGGGCAGCAAATCCTATGCTGAGAATTCTTCCCAGATCTCAAGTTATATAACTGAACAGATGGCATTCGCATGGCTTTGACAGGTCAGGCTGCGACCACAGGACATCCTGAGGAAGCAGCTCGGAAGCCTTCCCAAGGAGAGTGGGACGATCCCGTGAGTGAGCAGGCATGTGTGGCTGTGGGATTGGGTGAAGAAATGCACTCTGACTCAGCTTCCCATCTTCACGGCCCAGGAGCAAATTCTTCAGGATCCTGAAAGAGGTACAAATAATCCTGCAGAAACTAGTGGTACATTTGATTGAATCAGAAAAATAAACAAATCTTTCCTGTGGGAGAAAACAAAGTCTCTCAGGGAATGTGATACAGGGAGAGTGATTTGGTTTGTGGTCATGGTTGAAATGCCACAGGTAGATGGACAGTGAATTGGATGTGTTCTAATTGTATCTTAGGCTTGCAGCATGATGGGGCAAAAATGGGAAAAATATCCCTGTCTTCACAGAGTTTGCAGCTTACTGGGAGAGAAAAAAATCAGTCGCTCAGTCAATAAATACATGAACAAATACACACATGACTGTGATAAGGGCCAAGGAGAAAACAAAATATGCCGGGAAGGGGGATACAGAGATGTGTGTATAAAATTTTAGATAGAAATCCTCTTTTAAAAAGTATGTCATTTGAGTAAAGAAAGACCTGACGGAAATGAGAGAGAAAACCATGTGTATAGCAGGGAAAGAGAACTCCAGTGAGCGGAGACAGCCAATGCAAATGCCCTGAGCCAAGGGAAATGCCCGGAGTGTCCAGGGACCCATAAAAATCCCAGTGCGGCAAAAGCAGAGTACACCGGGAAAGAAGTGTGCAAGATGAGGTTTGAAAGCCAATGTGAGGTCAGATCATACAGAGTCTTAAAGCTCACAGCCTGGAATTGCCATTTCTTCTGAGTGAGATGGAAAATATTAGAAGGGTTTGGAGCAGACAAATGACATGATTTGGATTATTGTTTACTGGGATCACTCTTTGGAGGAAATAGATTGTGGGGCAGCAAGGGCAGAGGCAAGGGGCAGAGCAGTGAGGGGCAGGGAAGAAGCATCTAGAAGGTTATTGAGATAACCCAGGCAAGAGAGGAAGGTGGATTGGACCAGGATGGTGGCAATCTAAGCAGCAAGAAGTGGGTAAATTCTGGATATATTTTGAAGGTAGAATCAACAGGTCTGGTTAATGGATTAGATGCATTGTATGAGAGGAAAAAAAAGAGGAGTTCAGAGTTATTCCAAGGTTTGGGTGCTACACAACTGGAAAGACGGAGTAGATGTGAGAAGCTTAATAAGAAGGAGGAGAATGTGGGAAGGGCAGGTTTGGAGGATATCAGGACATCTGTTTGGAATATATTATGTTTGAGATGTTGAGTGGGCAATTTATTGCACAAGTCTGATGTGCTAAGGAGAGATTTGGGCTGAAAATGTAAATGAGACAGTCATCAGTACAGACATGGCATTTAAAGCCGTGAGGCTCCATGAGTTCACCTAGTGATGGATAGTGCGTACAGAAACTAAGAGAATATGCAGACAGTGATAGTCTGTATGGAATGCTGCTGGTAAGTCCAATGAGGCAAGCTGACCATTGAGTTTAGCCATATGCAAGTCATCACTGATCTTTATAAGACCAGCTTTTTAGAATCTAGAGCAAAAGGTTTGCTGGACTGGGTTCAAGAGAGAATGCAGACATTGGACAGCAAACAAAGACACTCCATTCAAAAACATTTGCTTTACAGGGAAGAGGAGAGATAGTGGTAGTTGGATGGGAAGATGGGATCAAGAGAGGATTTTTAAATTTTTTTAATTGAAGTACTATATATATGGTAAAGATGCTTACTGCTTGTGTATCGCTCCATAATTTCCACAACCAAACACACCCAAGTAACTAGTACTCATTTCAAGAAAAATAATATTGCTAGTCCCCAAAGTCTCCTGCCTGCTCCCTCTCAATCACTGTCCCCACCCAAGGGCAACAACTATCTTGAACTGACTTCTAAAACCCAATTCATTTTCCTACTTTTGTACTTTGCATAAATGAAATCATACAGTTCATGCTTTTCTGCATCTGGTTTCTTTGCCTGTATGTTAAATTTGTCATATTCATCTATATTGTTGCCTGTAGTGACGGTTTGATCATTCTTATTGCTATATAATAATCTATTGTGTGAGTATACCAAGATTTATTGATCCCTTCTACTGCTGCTGGACACATGGGTATTTTCCAGTTTTACAAATAGTGCTCCTATGAGCATTCTAGTACATGTCGTTTGGTGAGCGACATTTTATTGGGTATATTGCATACACATTTTATTGGGTATATTTCTGTGAGTGGAATTGCTGGGGCATAGAGAATGCGTATGTTCAGGTTTAGTTTTCCAAAATAGATATATCGATTTATGCTCCCACCAGCACTGTAAGAGAGACTTTATCAGCAATAGGGGTGATATTATAATATCTTCATCTGTTACTCCTTTGTCTTATATCTTAATTTTTTGAGAATGAAGGGGGTGAAGAGGGGTAGTGATTACTGGGCCCCCTCAAAATCTTAAGGAAGAGACTGCTGCTCATAGGGTTGTTGTGAGGAGTGACCCACTGTAAAATACCTGGCATCATCCGGGCCCAGGACATGTATCCAGCATATGTTAGTTGTCACTCTAATTTTGTAGTCACCCTCTCAGCCTTGTCTCCAGGCAGAGGTCAAGGTAAAGCAGTGATAACTGCAGTTTCCTTCTCCTCCAAATCACACTCATCCATCCAATTTGCTTTATAGCACTGGGAAAGGGTGAGCGCTCAGGGTGCTTCACTGACCATATTGCAGGACCAAGAATAAGTAGCACAGAAGCTCACATACCCCTCTTCATAAATTTCTCTGCCTCCTTCTGTTAGACCAGGTGTTTCATCAGGTTCCTGAAGGGGTTAAAGAAGAGTCCTGTGTTCGATTTCATTGCAAGTCATCTAATAAACCCTCTATAGAAAAAGCATACTCTAGAGATGGTTTATACCACCATTGAACTCTAATAGTAGCAATCCTAAGGAGGGCTGGTTAAATTATAGCTGGACGTAATTCCTTGCCATTTGTCGCTATCTGGAGATGTTCATTGTTTATTAACGAATAAATTTAATATACTTCTGCATTAAAAAAATTTCTTTCCTTATAGCTATGTCCATCCAAAAGGAGCATATGTGATTAAAATCATCACCAAGGAGATGAACTGATTTTTACAGGATTGTGTCTGATTATATCTTTTATTCCCACATCAAAACATATTTCAGTGATGTAATCTAGGTAAAACCAAAATCTTCTCTATAGTGTATTTATATATACTAAAAGGATATATATATACACTTTAATTTTTAGAACAGTTTGGACTTGCAAAAAATTATAAAGATAGTAAAGAGAGTTCCTATGTGCTCCATATCCAGTTTCTCCTATTATTAACAACTTATATTTGTATAATACATTTGTTATAATTAGTGAATCACTACCTGTATATTATTAACAAGTCAATACTTTATTCAGATTTCCTTTGTATTTATCTAATGTCCTTCTTTATTTTTGTTTGAAACAGAGTTTTGCTCTTGTCACCTAGGCTGGAGTGCAATGGTGTGATCTTGGCTCCCTGCAACCTCTGCCTCCCCGGTTCAAGCGATTCTCCTGCCTCAGCCTCCCGAGTAGCTGGGATTACAGGTGCCCGCCACCATGCCCAGCCAATTTTTAAATTTTCAGTAGAGACGGGGTTTCACCCTGTTGACTAGGCTGGTCTCGAACTTCTGACCTCTGGTGATCCACTTGTCTTGACCTCCCAAAGTGCTGGGATTACAGGCATGAGCCACTGCACCCGGCCCCTAATGTCCTTCTATTTCAGAATCCCATCCAGGATACCATATTACATTAGTTGTTGTGTTTCCTTAGGCTCCTCTTGGCTGTGATGATTTTTCAGATTTACCTTGTTTTTGAGGAATACTCATCAAATATTTTGTAGATTGCTCCTTAATTGGTATTTATTTGATTTTTTTTTTTTGCATGATTAGACTGGATTATGGGTTTTTGGGTAGAAAACCACAAAGATAAAGAGGCTTTTTGTTGCATTGTATCATGGGTACATTCCATCAACATGACTTATTACTGTTGATATTGATCTTGATTGCTCGGCTCAGGTAATTTGTCATGTTCTTCACCGTAAAGTTAAACCATGTCTATGCTGCACCCTTTGGAAGGAAGTTACTACATACAGCCCACATCAAAGGAGTAGGGGGTTATGTTCTACCTCTTTGAGTGTAGAATATCTACAGAAATTATTTGGAATTCTTCTGCATGGGAGATTTGTCATTTTCCTTGATTTATTTATTCAATTATTCATTTATAATAGTGTGAACTCATAGTTATTTAATACTTTCAGTTATAGTTTAATATTGCATTATTTTGTGGTTCAAATTGTTTCAAGTTTGGCCATGAGGAGCTCTTGTTGAAATTGGCTCCTCTATCCCTTTGAGATCCTCCTATCATTTCGTGTGTGTGTGTGTGTGTGTGTGTGTGTGTGTGTGTGTATGTGTTAGATACTTACTTTCCGGCACTACAAGATGCTCCAGGGCCAACTTGTATATATGCTAACTCAATCTTAGAATCAGCAGTTTCTCCAAGGAGCTCTAGTTTCTTTTACTGGAGAACAGTATTAAAGCCAATATCTGGGCACTAGAAGTTCTCCTTGCTACTGGGGTGTCATTGCTTTCTAGGCTCTCTTAGCTGACACAACAAGGAAATATGTACAGTAAACTCTGTATATATGTACAAATATCTGTAAATATTTCTATATGTAACCATAGGTATCTATGTTAAGCTAAACATGAGTGAATTCATACTGATAGCCCCAACTCTAATTCATTACCACATGGACCAACCCAGCCTATTCCCATTGCTTATCTGTGAACTCCATGAGAAATCTGGCTCCCACCATCTGCCATGCATTTACTTAATTGCTAATTCTGGTAAAAGTGCACAGCAGTATTAGAACCGTTAACTTGAAACCTTATGGGAAACAACTTTATTAAGTACAGTGTTATGGACATTTTCTTTCGCCTTTAGTCTTACAGACTCCTCTCATTTCCAAAATCACTTAGGTCAGCATCTTTTCCTCCCACCTCCTTCAGTGAAGCTGCTTTACAGATTTTTAATATAGTTAGATTGTTTTGTCACTGCAGTCCATTCTAGGACCCTTGACCTTCTAAATGATCTTGAAAATGTGCATACACTAATGTTTACTCCTTGTTCTATACAGTTCCATGGGTTTTGATATATGCAGTGTCATATATCCATAACTACAGTATTACATAGACAGTTTTACCACTCTAAGAAATTTCTCCTGCTTAACCTATTTAATCCTTCCTCCCCTCTCCCTGAGCCCCTGGAAATCAATGCATTTTTTTTTTTTTTTTTTACTGTCTCCATAGTTTTGCCTTTTCCAGAATGTGATATAATTGTAAACATACAGTATGTAGCCTTTCAGATTGGGTTGTTTCACTCGAAACTATGCATTTAAGATTCATTCATGTCTTTTTGTGATTCGACAGCTCATTTATTTTTATCATCAAATAATATCCCATCAACTGGCTGTACCACAGTTTATTGATCCATTCACCTATTGAAGGATATCTTAGTTGCTCCCAGTTTTTGGTCATTATGAATACAGCTGCTATAAATATTTGTTTGCAGGGTTTTGTGTGGATATATATCTCAAATCAGTTGCATAAACACCTAAAGGTTCCAATGCTGAATCATATGGTAAGACTGTGTTTAGCTTCTCTGCCCTGTTTAGCTAGCATGTGCCACTCCTCAAAGCCAGGTGGTGACCACCCTACAATCATCAACAGTCATCATCACCAGTTATTTCACTATTTTTTCCACCCTCATTCCAATTTTCAGTACATAAATACGTCTATTGAGTGTACCTCCTGTGTAAGAATAATCATTCTTTATACTTTTCAAAGTCCTTTCACATGCATTATCACAATATCTCTAAAATAGCAGTATAGGAGCCAACCTGTTCCAGGCAGAATCCTGGCTCTGATCCTAACCTATGGCCTGACACAGGGAAAGTATCTGAATCTTTTCACCTGTAAAAGGGGATACTGCAGCACCTATCTAAACTTACCTGTCCATGTTGTAAAGATTTAATGAGTGTTTAGGGTAGCACCACTTCTTGGACCATGTCACACGCTGTTTGAAGGCTCAGCCAAGATTAGAATGCGAATCTTTTGACTCCTATTCCTATGCTTCTTATCCTAGAAATGAGATTATTCCCCCAACCTCTTTTCCCTGCAACTTCGGCCAATATGGGGGCCTCGGTGGCATCAAAGCAATTGACCTAACAATCAATTTAGGAAAGGTTCTGGTATTTTTTGTGCACATGCATGGTAGGTGAAGGATCTGTTTATAGTCAAGTAGGATGATCCAATAACCATTGACAGAAATAGTCTTTTCTTATCTTTAATGAATAAAAAGAATAGCAGACTTCATTTTAATATCTAGGCTCTTAGATCAATCAATGGGCTAAGTACTGAAATAGTTTAAAAATCCATGAATTGAACTGCATGAACATGAATCTGTGCATTAAATTCTATGGACATAAAATGAATCTGTTCAAAAACAAGTTTGGGCAGTTCACATCTGGTATGTAGTGTTTTCAGAGTAAGGTTTAATTATTTTAAGAGGTTTTAAAACTCTGTATCCCAGCCAGAGAATGCTTATCTGCTTTATGCTAGTTTTTACCTGCAGAGTTTTTGTCTCTGTGACATCATATATTTATTTGCTGCTATATTTTAGAATGCATTGCACAACAGTGGGAACTGATCTAAGAAGGTTAATCATATTCTGGCAGTCGCTGAGCAGGCTGGCAATTAATGAGAAAGTTTGAAGAAAAATGTTATTTCAGAAGACACCACAGCCTATTCTATATGGTCAAGTTGACTTTTTATGATCAGTTGGTTGCTTATGTTAACAGTGAAAGTGCAAAAATCCTCAAGGACTGACAAACAAAGATTAATATTGTGTTTACAAAATAAGCAAACACAAAATATCCACAATGCTTTCACAGACACACACACACACACGCACACACATATGCACATACATGCGTGCACAAACACATCTTTGTTGCAACCTGTTCGTCTTGGGCTAGAGGTATGTGTGGGACGTGACTAGAACTATAGGTGAGGATCATCAGGATTTCAAATAACTTGCAATGATTGATATCAGTTATAAAAACGCTGAATTATCCAACTGATCATGGCTAGATTATAGTTTGGAAACCATTTATAAATAAAATTATATTCTAGTCACAACAATTTAACAATATAAATATATAGAGAAACTTAAACATACAAACATTTCAAGTAAATGCTAATTGTGACCTAATGCCTTTAGTAGAGAAGAATAATAAGAAAATTCATCTAGTGTTCTGTTTATAACTCTAATGCAAAAGATAGTTCTCTATCAGTTGAGTCAAATGTTTGTATCTTGATTATGGGCATCAGAATTTTGAGATCTTTACTGACCTACACTCCTACCAAGAAAAAAAAAAAGGAAGAAGTGTGGCATTTATTTGTCCATTAGTTCACTTCGTTCATTCATTCTGCAAATATTCAGCATTTACCATGTACATGGCATTGAACTTGGCCTGAAGAACAGACAACCTAATGGTGTTTGGAGAATTGAAACAGTTATACTGCAAGTAATCTAATTGATTAAATGTTGTTATTTAAAGTTGAAGACTGAGGCAAATTAAAACAGCCAAACAATTCTGGCTAGTTTTACCTATGCACTCTTGTTATGTCCATACCCATCTTCCACTAAACTTCTCTTGTCATTCTTCCCTATTTTCTAACGACTATTAAAACTCTGACAGATATAT